AATCTGTCCTGATATATAAAATATTTATTGCATAAGCATTAATACCAATTATTTATATAAAAAATGCAAATAAGCAAAATACAGCTTCCCTACCAACAAAACTAAAATGCCCATAAATAAAAATAAATAAGTAAAAATAGGTCACATGTCAGGATCCAGATAAAAAACAGACTAAGTCTGCTACAGATAAAAATAAAATAAAAATAAATGAAGAAGAGGGTAAAATGATCATGAGGCACATCCATGCAGATGGACACATGTGAGCATGCAGACAAGTGCACACACAAACACAGAGAATATAGAAGAACATTTACAGTACACCAGTGTTGAATGTGTATAAGAAGAAAAAAAATCAGAAACATATAAGCAATAAATTGCTGATACCCCCTGAAGAGTGGATGGACACCATATCCGTCTGCAAAACTCTGGAGTCAGGATGTTGAAGGTAACATCAATCAGCTAAGTGGCAAACCTTTTACTTACAATAATCCTATTAATGTTTTATTTTTGATATCAAGGGAGTGACTTGGTATAAATTTATGTGAACCCATTTTGTCCACATAAATTAATGTGAACCCATCTTGTCCACATAAATTAATGCCAAGTCACTCTCTTTCCCCAAAGAAGAAAAAGAAGCCACTAGAAATCAAAAGATTTGCTGACCACTAAAATTACATGGCAGATTCTCTAAGTCAATATTTTTATCCTTTCTTTTGAAATGTAATGATATTTACTAATCACACATGTATATTTCTATAATCATTTTGAATATAAATTATAATATATATAATATAATAATAATAATATAATATAATAATATAATATATAATATGTAATATATATAACATATATATAATATAATGTATCTTATATAATATATAATATAATATATATATATAATATATATATAATATGAACATAAGACTGTTTATGATGAAAAGATAGGTAGTGAGAGTGTGCTACATTCATTCATCATTTTGAATATAAATTACAACATAATATACATAATATAATAATAATATAATATATAATATATATAATATATATATATATATAATATATATAACATAAAATATAATATACTATAAATATAATATAATAATAATATAAGATACATAATATAATAATATATAATATAATATATATATAATATATAATATGATATAATTTGATAATATATATAATATATAATATAATATGAATATAAGACTGTTCATGATGAAAAGACAGGTAGTGAGAGTGTACTACATTCTATAGTCATTTTGAATATGAATTATAATATAATATATATAGTAATAATTATTCTGTTTGTTAATAAAGAAATCAAAAAGTATACTCCCTTTTTTACTCATCTTAATTTCAATGTGTTTCTTCTAAGAATTTTAATTATCTTTTTATTACAAAGTATAATAAATTATTTTTTTGTTAATAAATAAATCATAAAAAGCATACTACTTTTTTTTTACTCATCTTAATTTCAATGTGCCGCAGATGTTTAACAATAGGCTCAAGTAAGCCATGAGATAAAAAAAAAAGGTTGAAAAACATTGATTCAAATAAAAATATGAAATAAAATTGCACATCCTTAAACACAGACATGCATAAACTTATAGCATTGGAGCAATGTGGTACTATAGGATTTTAATGGATGAAGTTGTTGGTCACCAGTTTGTAGAATGAGATGGAAAACTTTTAAAGTAAACAAATTCAACATTTTCCAAAGAAATGAATTTCAACATATGGAGGAATTTTGTATTTTTTTTACCCCAAGCAAGGCAATACAAACACTAAAACACAAGGGGTTACATGATGTGGAAGAATTAGGAACAGAAACATTGGTAATGAGCAGAAAAAGAAAAGAGTAATCAAAAGGACAGTAGATAGCGATTGACATTGCATTTAAATTTTTGCAGGTTAAAGTTGGCTGGAAAGCATGGAGCCAGAAGGGAGTTCCAGAAATGAGAAATGTGAGAAAAGAAACTGTTAGCATAGAACTTACAGCTACATCTGGAGCAGCTCAACTTTAAATTGATGAGATCTTAACACCAGTTTAGTACTGCACTTAAATTCAAAAAGTCTATTTGCCATAGTGAAGAGCTCATCCAAACAATTACCATGAAAGTACTTATAGAAAAAGGCACAGAGAAGCAACCTTAGGGCAGTGGACAACTGACAGAAGCTGAGCCGTCAGATCAGGACCAAAAATATTGCTGATTCTTCTTTGGGTCTTATCAAGGAGCTCAAGGTACATAGCAGGGGCACTGGATCATATATGGCAGTAATATTCTAAGTATGGACAGATGGTAGACTTATAGATATGCAAGATAGATTCTGGAGAGAAAAATTGTCTCGTACAGCATAGTGAACTGATTTGCTTAGCAACTGATCTCTCAATGGATTCAATATAATCTTTCCACTTCATGTCAGCTGAGAACATTAGCCTGAAAAGGTGCAATGAGTCACTTTCCTGGAGGTTAGCATGAGCCATGACTGATCGAAGGTAGAGAGGGGGTCTCTCAGAGAAGTTTAATTTTGGAGGTGTTAAAATTGACAAGCCATCTTTTACGCCAGATAACAACGTTTCTGAGGTCATTTTGGACATCGGTTGCCATTTTGACTTTGTCAGACTGATCAGCCTTACTATCGAGGCAGGAGTAAATAGTTGTGCCGTTATGTGTATGTATGTATTTAGGATGAATACAAATATAAGATTCTTCACTTAGCTAATTGATGTTATATTCAGCACCTCCACTTGGGAGTTTCATATATAATAATAAAGTATTATTGAGCATCTGACCCTGTTGATCATTTCCATGCAAAACTCTTGATTTAGTCAATCAGATAAATCAGTTGAACTTTTGTTTTATTTAATATATATTTTTATATAAAGAATAATAATTGAAGAAGGTAGAAATAGAATCTCCAATCAGTGGTTAACTGGGACAAGGAATGGCTTGTAAATTTTAATGCTTTCAAAATGAAACTGCTATCATTTAATCCCCATAGAGAACCTTTTCTGCCTGCCATCAGCATGGTTGATGCTAACCTTCAGGAGAGCAACATTTTGTGACATCTTGGACTCATGGTTTTAACAGACATGGAGTGGAGTGATTATATTGAATCAATTGCTAGGTCTGCTGCTGTTCAGTGTGTCATGCCAGAAAATTTTTCTCATTAGAATCCATCTTGCACATTTATAAATCTACCATTTGCCCATTTTGGTAAAAATTTTATTATTTCCAAACACAAACAGAATATCAATAATGATAATTTTTATGGTTAAAAAAAAAACACGTGAGATACAAAAAGTAAAATAAAGTTGGTGCAATTGGTTGATAAAGTTGGTTGATAAAGAAAAGTTTTGAGTCAAATGAATATACCTTTAAAATGATTGAGTTCAAATAAAAGTCAATATGTAAGTGTGTGAGATAAGGGAGAGCAGGGTTAACATACAGAGAGAGAAAGAGAGAGAGAGAGAGCGGGAGAAAGAGAAGAATTACATATACAGTGTGAGAGAGGAGTTAATTGAACCTGGCTGTATCTTTGCTCAGTGGAAATGGGATAGATGATTGAAGACAGTTCCTGTGAAGTTGTCGATAGCTGAAAACCAAATCCAGTTGAAAGCAAATGAGTCTGTCAGAATTTTTGTTATCGGCCAGTGTTTATATTGCCTTTAAGTGGCTTAAAGCTTACAATTTTTTAACATCACAGTAGAACAGTTTGATTTGTCTATCATTTTCTCTTTCATGTTGTATGTTCTACGTCTACAAAAAAAAAAAACAAAAAACAAAAAACTGTTCAAGCATTGTTTTTAGTTTCAGTATGTATGTATAGCTCACAAGATCCTCAATCTTAAACAATCTTTATATTTTTATCAGAAAGAGCCCCAAAATAATGTGATTTTATCCTGGGTTCAATGTTTTGTGTTTTATGACCAGTGAAAATTGTGTGAGATATGGTCTTCAGAGTGGTCACTGATTTGACCGAAAGAGAATAAAAGAATCAATAAATGAAAACTTTGGGGGTCAAGCGACAACAAACTAGATATCAAAGATTTTCAGTTGCTGGTCTACATTAATAGTTACAGTGGGATTGAAGTAGTCAGTACTGGTATGCCTTCAGCGAGGGATCGACTGTCCCTTGGATAGTTCCAATGTCGTCTGTGTTGCCAGCAGCGCATTATGATGTTGAGATGGTAGGAGGAAAAGCAGAATGCGAAGAAGTGATTTGTTAGTCTGGCATGGTAGAAGTAGTCCCAGGTTTCATGTACTTACCGACTGAGACCGGGCAAGTGAAACCTTGTATAATCACCTAAACATGTTGAAAACAGGGTTTTGAATCCTTATTTCTCGCCATGAGGTTTGTTTTCTTGTAAGCTTGCAACGGTCCCTTCCCAGTTTTTTTGATGCATGTAAACATGAATGAGAATGTAGACACAATGTGGAGTAGTCATTGGCCGATTGGTAGAAACCTGAATGAGGCCTCTGCTGTATGTTTGCATGACACAAGTATCAGAATTTCAAATATAAAATTATAGAATGAAAATAAAATTCACAAGGTAAAATCCAGCCATACTTGTTAT